ATAGAAGAAGAATAGAAAATTAATAATAAATTAAGAATTTAAAAAACCAAAATTAAATAATAGTTAATTAGTAAAAAAAAAAAAAAAAAAAAAAAAAAGAAAAGAAAAGAAAAGAAAAAAAGAACTTTTATAAAGTAACAAATGAAAAGGAGATTCTTTTAATTTTTCCATGTGCTAAAATCGTGTTTTCACAGTTTATAATTCCACAAGGAAGGAAACATGATCGATCCCCGCAAAATAATAAAGGATTAATATATACGAATGATCTTTGGGCCCATAAACAGTGATATATATAAATTTTGTAAAGCATCATTATACCTAATCTAAAACTCATACATGTCTCATAAAGTACGCTTCCATTCATCCTTCCTCGTAAACATGCTATCAGAAAATAATAAAAACGCCAAGGGAAATCGGTCTGATTCCACACCGGGAGCCATAACAGACCGGGGTCCGCTCGTAAATTTTGGACGGCGTTTTACTCTCCTATTTATTTCTCCTTTCCGAGAAATCGATCAGAATATAACACAGGTATCAAAATCGAATCGGTCTTCGAGGCGGACCAAGTTGTGTAAAACCAAAGATTTTTATACCATCGAGAAACGAAATGATACATTAGAAAATGATAGAAACCGTTAAAAGGATTCATTTTTATCGAATCTCTTCATCTTAACTGAAATAAAATTATTGCCAATTAAACAAAACGAGAAAGAATTATTCGTGAATTATAAAAATTTGCTATCAATTTAATCACATTGAATATCAATATATTATTTATTCATTATCGAATATCCAGTAATCATGATAATACGATAAATTGATTATTTTATACCTGAACAATATTAATTATCGAAGATAATTTGTTAAGTATACGTCTCCTTGGAAATTAAGCTTTGAATACATCGTCGATTAAATTTTCCTTAAATGAAGATTAAACGTTCCTATGTATGAGCAACTCACAATGTGCACGCCTTTGATCGCTTCTCAGCCACAATTACCTGTCAGCATAGGCAAACGCACGATATTCTGGTTGATCAATTAATTATGTACCTCTAGAATTTTAATAAAATATCCAATTATCAAAGTTATCCTTCTCATTGTTTTGAATCTATCGAGAGGGACGTTTTTCATATAACGTATTGATGACTGTAAAATGAATGTATTTTGTTACTATTTGCATATATCACGGTGTACCGATGCATAGAGCGATAAACAAATGTATAATGGTATGAATATTCATGATCGGTGAGAGATGGACAATCATGAAACATAAGAGCAATCTCGTTTAGAGAATAATTTCATTAATATATTTTTAAAAATTGTAAAGAATTTTGAGTATTGTTTCTAACTAAATTTTCTAAAATTTACCTTAATCTATTTCCATCACTGATAATGATTTACCAATAAATAATTTATTACACAATATTTCATGATCGATATTTGGAATATTATATTTATGAGACGTAACGTTATAACGAATTCTCTATATTATTTGTCCAAAAAAGGTCTCTATAAAAAATAACAATCAGGTCATTAAATTATAAGTTTCAATTATAAATAAAATACAATTCTTGCTCGATAGAATCAACTGTTTCTGAAATAAATCCACAATAGATCGTGAGCATCCTTTCCAAAAAATCTTCACAGGTACAACACCGATCGTGTCGAAAAAAGAAAAAGTTGGGTTGATTTCACCCCAGGAAGATGGTAAACTGGGCGTAACCCCCAAAATCATCTTACAAGTGTGCGCAGAAATCGGGGGTTGAAAGAGAGAATAAGAGGAAACGAGAAAGAGAGAATGAGAACGGATAAAACGTGGCTGATTTATTTATCGAATCATAAATTACCGGGGTTACAATACGTGGCAGCATGCAAAAGCGCGCGCGTCTCTACGGCGTTCCTTTTCTCTCTGTTCCTCCCAAATGGTGGATCGAAAACGCAATGAGGGACCGAGGGTGTAAACGTAACGCGTGTTTGCATTGCGTGCTCGACCGGAAACACGATTTATACGATGCAAATTAAATGTGTACGGTACACACACGCGCCTGGCTAGCTAACGTTCGTCCATACCAAAAACCCCTTACCAGAATCTATTGTTGTTATTCTTAATGTTTTCATTACCTGATCCTTACGACTCGCTTCTTAAATCGTATCCTTTCTGATTTGATTCCAATTTGCACACGAAATGAGAATTTTATTTACGCTAGTGATATCGGTCGAAGATGAAATTCCTCGCTATCTCAATCTCGTTATTTTCTCATCGAATTGAACATAATACAAAAATTGATTAAAAATTATGGTGCTCGTTTGAATTAAGAAGGACCGTGATTCGATGTTTTTGCATTGATCTAGTATTTATGAACGATTATCGTTAAGAACTGAAACACTTTACGTGGTCGGGTGTATAATTTCGAACCCTTTCTAAATCAGAATACTGAATAAACTGCGATCCATTTGAAACGCATGGATTCTTCACGGTCACGTCCACATGTCCAGCAATTCGATACGCTGGATAAAATCACTATTATCCTCCATAGTCTGCAAACAATTATTCATTTTTCGCGTCAACAAAACGCTTTATTCTATAATCTTTATTCGTTGTGTTATAAAGAACGAATTGTTTTATTAAAGCATTATTATATAAAATTATTGTAAAATTTGAAGTTTAAAATATTATTATTTATGAAATCGGTAATTAATGTTTGTTGCCGGTTAAGAAGAAAAGAAAGAAAAGATTATTTTTATCTGATTTGTTTTCGTGTTAAATAATCAATTTATAACATGTTGCAAGAATAATATCTTATAATGTGACTTCTATGGATACCCTTCCCGGTTACCTAGCTATGTTGTGACAATGTTTAGGGAACATTTTGGGGTCTAACATTTGTGTATGCTCCCCTTTTTAGCCAGTTTTCATTGTACAACGAAAACGTATCGGCCATTGACAAATGGGAGATATTAATTTTAACGTACCAGAATTTCACATGACATCCACGTCATGGGATACTACCCTCGATTGTCGCGTTCATTCTCCCATGTTCCACTCAAAATTTGCTAGATATATCCAAATATCAATAAGTAACTAAATGTTAAATAAGTTCAGAAAAATATCACCATTCAATCATTCTGCAATTAACAAGTTAAATATCTTAATTAAATAATCTCATCTTAAATAATTATCTATTTATAAAAATTCAATATAATAAATAAAATAAATAATCATTAAAACATCAAATATTCAATTTTTTTCCATACCTGAGAGTTAATTTATAATTAATCATTATAGGCGATGTATTAAGAAATAATTTAAAAAATCGAATTTTTTAATACATTTATGCGAATTTCAAGTGACAATCCCATTGTAATTGTTTTACTTGATCACACGGTATTTCTTCCTAGAATATAAAACATACTTAAAACCAAGCAACGAGATAAGGCCGCAAAATGGCGAGGACGTATCAGACGGAAATACGTTCGAAAAGGTAGGGCGACATTGGGAATTGAAAAATAGTGCCTTGGGCCGCTGTCGTTCACAGTGATGGTTTCGTGACAGCCAATGTAACGCACGAATTAACGAATAATTGATTTTCATACCGTTCGGAGTAAGCGGCGCGCGCAAAAGACTGAGCGAGCCGATCGTCGAACCGAGGAGATATTTTCTCGATTTCCTGACCGCAGGTGCATCCACGTTACTGTGTTGTGTATCAAAAAATTCCAGCCTTAGGCGAATTTTCTTTTACATCGAGAAAATACTTGACTCGTTATTCATATGATTCTATACACTTTTGCACTGTTATGTAAAAATTCTATTATACAATTATAAACAATTCTTCTAAAAAATCAGAGAAATATTTGATTTGTATTTAAATATTTATTCTAATTTAATAAGCAATTTCTTTCTTATTATTCTTTAAATCGTTTTGACATTTTCAATTTGTACAATTATTATTTTTCACTTTTTACTTTCAATTTATCATCATCAGTATGAATGAAATTACTTATTTATTAAAATAGTATTAAATTAATTAAATTAAATGTCCAAATAAATGTATATCTGATTATTGCGAAAAGACGAGGAATGTTCTACTATCTGGCTAATAATTCGTCGAAGTCGAGTAAATCGGCGTGTCTTATAACGTTGATAGGTAGAGCGAAAGAGATTCGTAGGGAGCTGGATAATATAAGCGGGCAGGCACGCTGCTATATGGATGAGGAATCGGTCGAAGAAAGAAAACGAAGGCGGAAAGAGAAAGAGAAGGAAAACGAGGAGAGAACAGATTTATATTTGAAATTAGATTAAGCTCCTGCGCTTGAAAGCTATATAAACGCCCCTCTAGCCAGCAGTGCCGCGTACATTCCGCGTTTCACAATCCACTAAGAGGAGAGACTCAATAAACCAACCACTCACTCTTTCTTCCTTCATCTTTTTCTCTTTCCTATTCTCTTCTTTCTTTTTTCTTTCTTTTTCTCTCATATCTTTGCTTTCGTTTCATACCCTGTACTTTCACAGAATCCAACTCCGTTCTTCCATTCTTTCTATCTTTATTTTTACCAATAAAACTACTCGACAAATACTCTTATTTCTTTTTCTTCCCCGTTTTGCAAAGTGTACGATCTTTCTCGTGTGTTCTTATTTTCCACGGAAAAATAACCATTTTGTTGTTCTGCTTTATCCGTTCACGAATTTGTAGATATACCTGTATTATTTTTGATATGGATGGAATCTTGAAACAGTGGACGGTGATTTTGTTTTCTAATATTCTTATGATTTCTTTTTCTTTTTTCCCTTTTCATTTACTATTTTTATGCTTTCTATTTTACATTAAATTTAAATCCTTTTATCGTTTTTATAAAATGATTGATGGTAAGATAAGATTTTTGATGTATTAAAAGTTCTCATATTATAATTATAAAATAATTAATAGTAATTTTTTCTTATAAAAATTATATCAAGAAGAAATATTTTGTAAATTATGTTTTAATGAATGAATTATAAAAAAGAAGTACAAACTATGAAGTAAAAATTGTCATGTATAAGTTATTTATAACTAATTTTGAGGTAATAAAGTTAATTAATTTTGTACAATAACTTCACATAGGAGTTTGTAATGTACCTGGTCCCACGCCGTATCCATATCCTTGAGGTCCGAAATTTCGAACATAACATTCTAAATAGCGAAGATGAAGTTAAAATATAAAATCTACAGTAAGTTCTATTGACTATAAGAAAGAACGAGTAAATTTGCAAAATTCGAAATTTACACTAACGTTTGCAATAAATTTCCCCACAATTTTCTTGATATGTTAACGGTTCCAACGGTTTTCTACAGCAATAGCAGCTGAAGCATGTATTATGAAACGGCATACCGGATACAATCTTGAATGGTATTCAACGTTCACGTGTTTCAACGTGAATTAAGAAAAAAATTATTAATTTTTAAAATTAAAATCAAAATTACCTGCATTTCAGCTTGATATACTTTTCGCCCACAGCGTTGACAATCAACTCCTCCACCCAAACATTCGCAACCAGATTTCGGTCGGCAACATCCTGAGTCAATGACTATTGGTTCAGCCCTTTCGGTACTACAACATCTTCTGCTTCGATTTCGACATACTGGACTTTTTGATCTGTACATATATAGAAAAAAAAATTAACAATTAAAGTATCGATATAAAGAGTCAATATTAAAAATTCTTACCGACAGCAACACGCACGATTCCCACTTCCACAACAATTTCCACATTTTTGACCGCAATAGCAAATTATTTGTGGAGTGCATGGCTTTGGTGAACAAGGTGAACATGGTCGGCAAGATGTCGTGCAAAGTCTTGATGGATTCGGTAAACACGTTTGTCCAGGTTTTCCACAACCACCACGACATCCACCTCCGCAACATCCACCTCCTCCACAAATTGAAGATTCTCCGATGCACGATTGACGACATTTAATAATTGATTTTTTGCAAACTGGCCGATCACTTGACGATGAGCAACAACTACGTCTATCGACGCATGGTGTTGTTGCACAAGTCGCACAAGATGTCACAACGCGACATGGTTCTGGCTCTCCTGAAATATAAAAATTAAAATTTCACTTAATATTTCTTCTTTATAGATGAATAATTTTAAACAGATATTTTCCAGAAATTTTTACTTTTACAAAGACAAGCAGTTTCAACTTTCACCGTTCCACATGGAAGTCTAACACGAGGTCCGCACGGTCCACCGCATCCTCCCCGCATTCGTTCATTATCATCAAGTTCATTCGATGAATTCGGGCCACTTTGATGACCGTACGTCATAGCGTCTTCTTTCGACGATGCATCATCTTTCTCGTTCATTATTCTGTACGCGCGCGATTCTGAATTACCTTCGATGCAATGATCTTGTCCACGACTCTTCTCGATGTCATTGCATTTACTTAACGTGTCTTCTTCACCACAGTCCGACGCGCTTTTTTCAAAATGCATTCTGCCACTATCTTTGGTATAATTTACATTAATATTTTCGTATCCGCCGTCGTTTTTACCAACCGATTCGTCCGCTTGCCAAATGTCGAAAGAATTATTGTATTCCTTTTTATTATCATTATTACAACAGGGCCTATGATGATCATCTTGCATTTTCGAGATACAATTCTGGTCGTTTCCGCGCATATCCCCGAAGACGACGTCGTAGAACGAGACTCGTCGTCGGGAAGGCAACGGATTGCGAGGCGGTGGTACCGGCGGATACGCAAATTTTCGTCTTGACGGAATAGTGACGCTATTGGCACTAAATTCGTATACGGGATCGTATTTGTTAATTTTATTATTCCAGTTGATAGATGTCACTTGAGTTTTATCTGTGCTGGAAATATCTACGCTTAGAAAGCCTTATTTTGTCGAATTGCCATTGCACTGGAGTTTTAAAATAAAAATATAAAATATATATAGAAATAAATATAAATTTAAAATTAATGACACAACATGAAAATTAAACTATTAACTATAACGGTAAAAAGATTTTAAACTACCGATATCTTACCGACGGATTCTGTTTCCGATGAAAAGTGGTAAATACAACGTAAATGCTAGTCTAATATATCCAATTATTTTTGCGCTTACGGCTAAACATTTCTTCAGAAATAGTTTACAAAAATCTGGAAGAATAGGGATACAGAAAATTCAGAAAATTTTATATACCTTAACTGAGCCTCTGTAATGTTGACTTCATTATTACTAAACGAAGTCTTTGGCTCAAATTGATCTGTATCTTGTTTCTGCACTTCAAATCGACAAGCTTTCGCGTTAGTGTTATTCTTCTGCCACTCCGGAGACAATGTACTATTAATAAGATACAATTAACAACACGTTTTAAAATGAATGTTTTAATGTTTTGACATTTATATATAGACGGTGTAACAAAAGAAAAAAAACGAAAATATATGTCGGGAATAATTTTAAACCTGCGAAACCTAGAATGTTGCCGATTGTACCACGTAGTTATTGCGGTAGGACTGGGTGGCGGATCACAAATTGTTGTCATCGAATTGACAATACCTAGATTTGCACACTCGTTTTCTATGAAATGTTTTTTTCTTCGTCAAGACAAATATTTGTTTCCTCAACTTCACTTCCTCCACCACGAAGTCTATACTTGTCGGATTGATAATGTTGATTTCTGTTTAATGACGCGTTACCGATTGAGTTTTCTGCGTCGCAACAGTAACAATTTAATAATTCCTTGGAAAGTGCTAAAGTTGCAGACGAGTTTGGTATTGCTTTAATTGCATGATTCGCAGTGGATAAAAACAGACGAATATAACAATTCTTGCAAAATAATTCACTAAGATGTGTCACGACGTTACAGCTATTGAGTAATTTTCTACAGCTACCTATAAATTATAAATTCAAACAACTTTCATTTATAATTAAATAATGAAAAAAACATTACAGGAAAAAATAATTATCTTAGATTAATCTTATAATAATAATTTACAATACTAACGACAAGAGAAACAAAACGTATGCCAAACTTTTCCAAGAGCTAATTTTTCCTCTGCGAAGTAAACCTCGCGATTACAACGTGGACAAACTCCAGGCATTTATTAAGAAAATTTGTATCTTGTTACATAAATAAATAGTATATCATAAAAATTTTTATATGAATTAGTTAAAAATTTATATATTAATTAATATTTTTTTTTACCGAAATTTTTCTGGTTACCTGTATGATATGTTTTAACATTTGTGAACGCTCGCAAAATAATCATGTAAAACAGTACATATTTCACACATACTTAGAACCAAAATTTGTAATAATAAATTTTTAATATAAAAACAATTTGTACAAATTCTCCAAAAAGTGTTTAAAAATGTCGAACATCAATGACTAATCAATGAAAAACAAAACATAATCACTTAAACATATAATATATATAATATATAATTATTAATGAATTATAATCTTTTTTATTATTATATTATTATATATATATTTATATATATATAATATTAATATATATTAATATATTAAAAATATTTGATTTATTATATAATAAAGAATAAAGAAATATATAATTATTATTATTAATAGTATTTAAAATATATACCTTTTTGTTAATATATTTGTTAAATAGAGAAATTGTAATTCATATTATTTACATTGATAGATATATGAAAGTAGAAGTCAATGTGGCTGATCTATATGTAACGAACGTCAAGTCATAGTACAAGTGGCTCTCTGATTCAAAGAGGTTAAGAGAGCTGCTTAATAGAAATGGCAGCAATAAAGGGCCTGGGTAGAAATATTCCCTATCTGAGGCAACAATTTGCTGCCCTTTTGGGAAACACTAGCACCAGTGTGAAATTTATATGCGTAGTAGTTTTGTTTTCTTATTGCCTTTCTTTTTCTACGGAGACGGTACGTCTGTTAAGTGTGACACCAGGTTATCTACTACCTCCAGTTTTCTGGATCTGGACAGCATTTACTTTCTGTTTTCTTGAGATACATTTTTGGGAAGTATGTGTGGATATCGTTACAGTAGGGCTTTGTGGTAAATTGATCGAACCTTTATGGGGTGCAATGGAAATGATGACTTTTTTTGCTATCGTTAATTTTGGCGTCGCTGTCTTGTCAGCTTTATTTTATTTATTTCTTTATATGTGCACTAATGATCCAGATCTATTATTTGATATACACATCCATGGATTAACTGGATATATTGCAGGTACATTCTTTGTATAAAATAAATTTTTATTATCAATTATTTATCATCATTATATGCGTATCACATAATAATATATTTTATTATATATTTTTATATTATTATATATTTTATTGTAAATATAATAAAATAAAATATTATAATATCATTAATCATATAAAAAATATATAAATTAATTAGAGAAAAATTATAGGTGTTACAGTAGCTGTAAAACAAATAATGCCAGATCATATTTTAGTTAAAACACCAATTGGTAAAATTACAAATAGAAATATACCATTAATGGTTTGGATTATGGGAGTGATATTATGGCTTTTTGGGCTATTAGAAGGCACTCATCCAACTATGTTTCTTAGTGGTTTATTAATATCATGGACTTATCTTAGATTTTATCAAAAACATAATAATGGTACACGTGGTGATATGGCTGACAATTTTACATTTGCAAGGTAAATTATATTATAAATATATATATATATATACATACAATATATATGTACGTGTTGAGATATAATATACAAAATATTTTTAATATTATAATGATTATGAACTTGATTATAGTTTTTTTCCAAATGTCTTACAACCACCAATAGCAGTTGTAAGTAATACAATACATGGTTTTTTTGTACGAGTTGGAATTTGTAGAAAAGTAGTTAGAAGATTTGATATGTCCAATGCTCCACCTGGTCTCATTATAAATCTTCCTGGTATTGATCCACATGATAGCGAAAGAAGAAGGTTCGATTTTTTTTTCTAATTATTTACTTAAAAAATACAATATAAAAAACAAATTTTAATTACAATTTAAAGATTATTTTTTAAATAGTAATATTTTAAATTATATTTAATAATAATTTGCAGGCAAATAGCATTAAAAGCCTTAAGTGAAAGATTGAGTAAGGATCATGCAAAACCATGGCAACAAGAAAGAACTAAAAAACATTCTCCAGTACCTCCTGCAGTTTCAATCCCAATTCCTGATACCACTACACCTAAGCCACTTGCATCTCCTCTTATTCCTCAAGTTAGTGTTAACATACATAATCATGCTTCTACTAATACGTGATCATATCAGATAGACTGATTTCAAATTCATGTATAAATATATTAAAAAACTTTTAAAAAAATGTTAACAATTTGCAACAACATTGATAATGTGGCAATATTTAATAAAATAATAGTTTTTTTAATATATAAGCCAAATATTATTATGAAACTATTTTAAAATTTAATAGAAAAGAAAATATAAAAAAATATTTCTAAATTTTTATTATCAAATCAAATTTTTAATTATTAAATCACAAAAAAACATTTATTTATTAATACTTTTTGATAAATTCAAAAAATAAAAAGTAATATACAAAATGTGCCTTGGCATTTATAACTTTTAATTAACTTTCAATTTTAAATATATTTTTTAAATTTATAAATGAAATTAATCTTTTTTTTTTGTACTATTAAATTAGCATATAATATAATAAATTAATTTATCTATATTAATTATAATGCCATATTATCGATTGTGCATGTAATCTTTAAAAGATTCTTAAACAAAAAAAATATAGGATTTTACTAGTTTGTGATGATATTTTCCAAGAAAATCGTGTTCTTTGTTACTAAGAATTATAAACTCTATTTATATAATTCAATACTGTCAGTGAATGATAAATAATTTAAATTTTTTTAACAAACATGTTAAAAGTCCTGAAATATTGTATAACTGCAGCATTGTTCCGTCTTTAATATTCAGCGATAACTAAATGATAAAAATTATTAATAACAATGAATAAAAGTAGATACTGGCTTATATACTGGCTTCCAGTATAATATTGTAAAATAATTTTATTAGAAACAGATTTAAATTTGGAAAAGATTATTATTTCATTAACATGTTTTAAAAAATATTTTATACAATCCAAGAATTACAATTAAATATTATGTATAGTGTAAAATGTTAATGTATAATACACATACATGTTGAAATCAGATAACACTTGTGAAAACAAACATTTTCAGCTTATTTTAAAATCATATTTTAGCAAGAATCTTAATATGAAGTATATTTTACTTTTTGTATCAAAAAAGATTTCTTTTTAAAAAAATATGTACCATTGCATTATATCTATAGTTTTTAGAACAATTATTTCACATGAAATAATTTCTTTTCATATATTCTTTTCATATTATTTTAAAAAATAATGATATATTTATATCTGTACCTAAATATATAATATAAATTTATTAAAGATTTGATCTATTATTTAAATTATAAAATTTTTAATATTCATACATGTATAATTACTTTTACATATAAATTTATATCATTTGTTATGTTATTTCATCATGTTATATTAATTTATTTTATTAATATTATCAAATATAATTAAAAATAATTAATATAGTTTCAACATTTTAGGTACAGATATTCATTTAATTAAAGTACATGATCTTCATTATATATTTAATTTATATTTTGTTCATAAATAGCATTTTTTTTTATATTAAAACAATCAATTGCTGTGCCACAAATATATATTGCGATTTTCATTTATTAATATTTTTTAAACAATTGTTAAATATTGATTATTGTAATTTAAACATAATTATTTAAAAATATATACATGAAAACATAAATGGAAAGTAGTTCGTATAAATATATATGAATATATATATATATATATATATATATTATATATATATATATATATTTATATATATTTATATATATATAGCAATGTGGATAATATTTGATATAATAATAGGTTGTAAATATAAAAATTGATGTAAAACGTGAAGGGAACAAGACACCATAATGATGCGGTAATTATATATAGATAAATACATTAATATATGCGTGATGGACTAAGATTAAAAACTATTTTCATGTATGATTCAAAACTGTCTTTTTAGAATGTATGTTATTCATATTTTGGCCTTCCACTTAAAAAATTCTTATAACAATTTTTAAGTACTCTTAATATATAATTTTAATCTGTTTCAATTAATATTTATTATTACAAATATGACTAGATTTAAAAAGCGAAAGGCCAGAATTGAATGTATGAATAAATGAATCTTTGTTAATTTCATTAAATACATTATAAAAATATAATGTATTAATTACACATTATATATGTACATGTTATATATAATCAGTTTTGTACATATGTTAAAATCGTTATAGTCTGTACAATATTAAATTTTACTAAAAAAATATATATTTCGTATTTTCCTATTCCGTATATAGGATAAAATTATAAAAATTAATATTGAATATGCAATATGTAATAGAAATACTTATTTAAAATTTTAATATTCTATAATTTAATTTATATTAATTTGTTATATGTATATAAATAATAAGTATATATCATTTTCATATTATTAAGATTGTTTCATTCTTTGTTACAAATTCTCCCAAAATTTAAAATTAATTTTATTCTTTTTTTTTTCAGCTTATTGTAAAATTAAAAAATGGGAAATAAATAAATTTATCCACATGATTGAAATAATTTTATTTCTATAATGATTATGTAATTTTCGCTATTGAATGTTACGATTATATATCTTTGAAAAGTATAAAATATTTTGAATATTTCCTAATAGTACAATACATTTAAAAAATTGATATTTACAATCATATTTAATTATCATCGCTTTTATAATAATTTTATCACAATTTATATTATACAATCCTCCACGATACATTTTTTCTTTATCTATAAAATTGTTGTTGATGCTGTGACCATTGAGTTTGTGGTGGTGGAGCTTGTTGTTGTGGAGGTGGAGGACCATATGATGGATCTTGTATATATCCTGTTGGAGATGGCCTTATCGAAGTTGGTGTTGAAGATACATATTGCTGTTGCTGTGGTGGTGGTGGTGGCACATAAGATACTTGGGCAGGATGTTGAGGTTGTGGATAATATTGTTGTGTTTGAGAAACAGGAGGTGGTACATTATATCCTCCATAATTAACTTGTGGAGGTGGAGGAGGATAATAATGATGACTTTGTTGTGTATGTATATCGTGTGTTGTTATAGCTGTATCTTGAATGGGTACAGTTATAAGATTCGTTCTTAACGGAGCATTATTTGGCGGTGGAGGTGCAGAATTTTGATTATAATTTTGCATTGATATTAATGCTTGTGGTCTATGTTGTTGTCTATGTTCCACTGGTGCTTGATTGACCATTGAATTCACTCTAGGATCATTTCCCATTATTGGTTGAACCATATGAGATTGTACTGATTTTATGCGAGTATTTTGCATAGCAACTGATGAAACTTTTGTTAATTGAGATTCTATTTCTGATTTAGAATGCACATATTGTGGAGGATCCACTTGCATTCCTTGAACTTGTGGTGGAGCTGATATATGTCTATGATTTATGTGAGCCTATAAACAATATATTTCAATATTTTTCAATTATCAAAATACTTAAAAATAAAAAGAAATTACCTGTAAATCCCTTTGACTAAGATATGTTCTTCTACAACCTGCATTTCCATATCTTGTTCCACCATGTGTGCACATAAAGACAGTACCTAAACCTGTTTGTTCTACCCTAGAAACTTTTTCCATACAACGAGGACAAACTTTATCTTCTCTTTTAGCACAAGATAAACAAAAGACATGTTTGCAAGGTATCTAAAACATATAAAAATATTTATAAATATTAAATTAAAAAATAATAATCATAGCAACAAATCTTATTTATTTTATAATATTTTATTCTATTTTAAAGGTATATTAATTATATGTTATAACTCTCATATTTTTTACATTTTAAACAATAAAAATTTACTAAATTGGATTTTATGACAAATATATAATTTATGATGAATACATAATTTGTTTTAATATCATATACACAAAAAAAAACTCTTACCATGCGTCCATAAATAAGAATTGGTTTTAAACACTTATCACAACAATGTATCATAGGATTTAACACTTTCTCTCCAATAAGATTTACTCTATGATCCCATCTTAAACGTAGCATTGGTTCTGGAGGACCTCTATTAATGGTTGTAAAAGTTGGAGCTTCTAATTGTGATATATCAGCTTCCAAATCAAACTGTTGTTCCAAAGGAATCTGTTGAGCTGATGGAGCTTCATGTTCTTCTAGTTCTGTACCAGTTGTTTCTACTGGAGGTTCTTCTACTTGTTGAGGATTATCTTCTTCATCGCTTTCAATGACCTGTATAAATATATATATATATACATTTGAAATATGTAAGTTATATATAAGTTATAATCAAATATAAATATTAAGAAAATAAATTATATAATAAAAAATTTCAATTTTAAAATTATTTAAATTTACCTTTACTTGTTTTTTAGATCTACCTCTAGTTCGTCCTCGTGTTCTGCCACGAGCTCTACCACGAGTTCTACCTCTCATTCTCTTACCACCATCTTCTTCCATCATTAAAATTATATTTTATTATCTGTAAAATGAAAGTTTAATAGTTTTCATTTGCATTAAATTGAGAATAAAAGTACCGTTAGAATATAAAATATAAAAAAAATTAAAATATACATAATATTTAAACAAAAGTTATTTATTAATTTAAAAATTAAACAAATAAGCTATTTTAGTTTTAAATTTTAGTTTTTATATTTCATATTGAGCATTTATCTAATGATATAGGTTATATTTCTAAATAATATAATTTATAATATATAATCATATTTATAACAAAAATGTTTGTTAAAATAAACAACTAGAAAATAAAATATTCACATTCAATAATTAAAATATTAAATTTTTTTATTAAATGATTTAATGTCTTACGCTAAACTAATCATTTCACACTTAAAATGAAGAAATAAGTTATTATAATCTTCATTATAGTAAATCTATGTGATATTAGATAAAATAGATATTGTTGTTACCTTGGAGACGAATTTACTTTATGCAAAATGCAAGATCGTATATCGAAACTAAATCTCGTGTATTTTTAATTTTCTCTATATCTATCTTTTTTTATAATATTAATCAATATTGACTATTTAATCCTAATTTTTCATTTTCTTTAAATTATTATAAATAATATAAAAATATATAAAAAATATATTAGTAAAAAGAATTATTATACTATGTATAACGTATTAATAATTGAAGATAACTTCAAGGTGATTCAATGAAGGGAGTAGTTCTGAAACCGAACACTATATCTAACT